TGTGAGCAGATATAAATTCATTCCTCTTTCTAATCATGGTGTGCTGGCATATACTATACCACCTACAATACTATACTGCCTTCTAATGATCAATAAGTGAATGAATGAAAATTAATGTGAAAAAATTTTAACTACAGAAATTGAAGAATTTGAAAAAGAAACTACTGCAAAGTTATTTCAAAGAAACTGCTCACAGAAGTTCTCTCTCAAGAGCTGCTTCAAGCAACAGTTTTTCTAGAAGCAACAGACTCTCAACTAAGACATAAAATGGAACTGGATCTTTGTCAGGAGCTTCTAGATTTAGCAGACTTTTAACGTCAATAAATAATGTTTTGAACAGAAGGGTGACTTATGTAACTCGCCCAATTTAATAAATTACCCCCCCCACAAATATTCATCCTAAAAGCAAAGGCTACTTTGGGCTTATATTCCTACCACAAAAAAAATTATGTTTGTTAATTAATCTTTGGGTAATTATAAACTATATATGATAAGAGTTTATAAAATACTTGAAATAGCTGACAGTACATCTGAGTGTCAGATACTAATAAATCTATTTAAAATGGTAGTTTCACATTTATTGACAATTTGTTAAAATTCTTAACTTCCACACCTGTAACTTGAGAAATGGCTGTAACAACTGGAATTCAAAATTCCACAAGATGGTAATAACAAAAACTCTCATTAAAAATTCTTCCAAACTAAGGTAATCTTTTAAAACAAAGATTTATTTATTTATTTATTTAATTTATTTATTTTTAGAGAGGGGAAGGGAGAGAAACACCAATATTTGGTTGCCTCTCATGCACCACACCCACTTACTGGAGACCTGGCCTGCAACCCAGGCATGTGCCCTAGACTGGGAATCTAACCAGTGACTCTTGGTTTGCAAGCTGGCATTCAATCCACTGAGCCACACCAGCCACAGCTCAAACTAAGGTAATTTTAATAATTTCAGGTTAATAGTTCTTAACTCCCCATCCCCATCAAAAATCAATAACCTTACTGCAGGTGCAAGCAGCAGCAGAATCTAATCCTCTGTTGTCTCCTTCTCAGAAGATAGCATATTAAAATACAAGCAACTCAGATCTAAGTTTTATCATTTGATTATCCTCCAGTTTTAAAGGTATTTACAATCTTTGGGACTTGATCACTAACACCCATTAATATCCAAGCAAAAATACAAATCACTGCAATTCTCCTAACAAAAGGTCATTAATAACTTCCCTTACATTTAAAATTTGTTTCTCCTCACAAAACAATGCCTACATTCTTCAAGTTTCTGTCAAAACTCAGGCTAATAATGTTTACAGGGCATGATACCTTTATGAAGCACTCTGGTCTACTCCCCCTAACTCCACTATGCCAAAAAAGAGAAAACAATAATAATCATAATTAAAGAAAAAAAGAAAACACAACACAAATCTGATCAAGCCTCCAAATTTATCTACTAATTCATAGGAAATACAGCTGGTAGAGGAACATGATGAACAACACAAAATACAACCTGCAGAACCAGGTCTGCAAAATTGATCAGATTAAGGGATTTTATTATTTAAGTGTAAATGATAGTGTTTGTTTATAAAAGTAGTCTTTAGCTTTTACTGCTATACTGTTCTTTTATATATCTGAATTGAAAATGTTCCATAATAGAATAAAAATGAAATAACTATTAAAAAGGATGTTTAAAAAACAAATGCCAACCATTCTTCATTTCACTAAGCATTACTTTAAAAAACTGTTGTCATACATAAAGAACCCTAATTATGCTAAAGGTGTTAGTTTTGGGGGGGAATGGTGGGGTGTCCATGATTCCCTTCATTTTGATATGTAACTAGTGTCAACAAAATATATAGTAGTAATAATGTATTAATAGGGTTAATAAAATACTAATTCAGAAGTGTAATATGTAGTACCATTAGCATGTAAGAATCTGTGGGGCGTTTGATAAACAGAAATCCTCATGCTCTAAAATGACTGGGAATTCCTGAATGTAAATAATATTTTGAGGTCATTATAATGCAATTTTCTCATCTTTTATGTTTTCTCCAGTCTCCATAGCAGTTGTATTAGTAGGCACTATTTCCATTTTAGGGATAAAAAAAATCAGATTACTGTATTTTTCGGACCATAACACGCACCCTAGGTTTTAGAGGAAAATAGGAAAAAAATTTTGAAGCAAAAAATGTGGTAAAATATTTAGTAACATAAATAACACAATATTTCACCAATGTAAATGTAAACAGAACTCAACAGCAGCATTAACAACCATTATTCCTCCCAAATTTGGGGAAGGGAAAAAAAAAAAGAAAGAAAAGTGTGTCTTATAGTCTGAAAAATACGATGCATATGGCTTTGGTCATGATCTGTTTTGTTAAATGACAAGTCTCTAGATTTCTCAGGTGTTCTTCTCTCTGCTTCATTATCAGTTGCCTTCCTAAACATAACAATAGGCATTAAACCTCAAGACCCCAGAAAGCTGAATAAAGAAATCATCTAAAGTAAAGCCAGATCTGTTTTAAAATATTTAGTATGTGAATTTCATATTCTGAAGGACATGCTTAGAACCAAAGTGAATAAGTAGACAATAATTTAATCTCCATTAACATAGCCAGGCTCAAGAGCTTTTAGCAGTATCTCAGAGAGAATTTCCCATCTTTTTTAAATAAAAATTCCTAGATAGTTGATTTAGGATCACTAGGATAATAACAAAAATCTTAGCCTTAATTTGTGAATAAAGTATCTTCAAAACGACTTGAGAGGAAACAAACACCATTCTCCAGAGTAGTTTTTCCATTCTTCACTAAACCTATTCATTTTCCCACCACAGATAACTACTTGATCAGCTCTTTGACAGCTCTGCCTGCTTGCTCCATTTAGCCTTCAGAAATTTTTTTCTCTTCTTTAAAAATTGAAGAGTGAGGCCAACAGTATGTTGCCACCAATTTTTAGAACTAAAAGGCAGCGGTAAGCAATGTGAAGATTTTGTTCTACAAACATCTTAATTTCTTCGCTATTCCTTGTTGTATCTTTTTATCAAGTTTTGTGAAATTCTTCACTTAAAAGGATTTTTTCCCCAAACATATTTACAGTGAGATGATAGGGACAAAGCTTTGCTGCCTTACTAAGACAACTAAAAGAAAAATTTCCGAAGACCACTCTCATGGAGATAGAATTAGTTAAAATTTCTATACACAGAATTTAAACATGGAGTTTCTTATGCTAGTCTCCATGATACCCCAGAAATTATTTTTAAAAAATTAGTGTAGCACCCTGGCTGGTGTAGCTCAGTGGATTGAGCACGGGCTGCGAACCAAACTGTCACAGGTTCAATTCCCAGTCAGGGTACATGCCTGGGTTGCAGGCCATGACCCCCAGCAACTGCACATTGATCTCTCTCTCTCTCTCCGTCCCTCCCTCTCCCTCTCTAAAAAATAAAATAAAAAATTTTTAAAAATTCATGTATTAAAATTTTCCTAAAAGAAGCCATGACATCAAGAAATAGGGTAAAAGTCATAGAAATAAAACTTCCTTTTCTTTGCTAACAATGATTCTCAATCCTACCTGGACACAGAATTCCTTCGGGGCTTGAAAAAATACACTCATAAAGAGCCTACCTAGAACAGCTGTATATAAATCTCTACAGGTGTAACTGAGCACAAGTATCTTTTAAATGTAGCCAAGAGATCTATGTGCAAGAAGGGAGTGGGGTAAAAAACAGCTGCTTCAGACACACTCACTAGGTTTCAGGGCCTTTAAGTTTCTCTACCAGTGACCAAGTTTTCCCGTATCTGTTCTCTCAACTGTAAGGCCTGCCATTTTTATATTTTATTATTTTCAAAGTACAAATCCAATTATTTTTCAAAATGTGTTCAAACATAAAAAATCTGAAGAAATCTCTAAGGACAAATGAAATAATCACTTGGTGCTGTATGAAAGAGATTCAAATTATACAATGGAGACCCAAACAATTTTGCCAGTCTTAATTCTTGTGTCCTTTTAGTAACTACCATAGTCTATGTAGTATTTCTCAGAGAGGAAAATCATGTTCATTTATCAAGTCCAATGTATGAATAAGCTCAAATACTTCCATATAATGCAGTTTCAAAAGTACCAAACCAAACAGACCTAATGTTTCCTTAACATTCCATGACGACTAATATATCAGAAGCCAATGTCATACCAATCCTTTTTGCATATCGTGCCATTCCTCAATAATTAATCCCTATATCTAAATCCATCATTCAAAAGCCACCCATAACCTATCCCTACTCATACATCTTCTAATTTTATTTCTCAGGACTCTCCAACAAATATTAATGCTGTTCTGAAGGCACAAGAAAAAATCATAATCATTATTCCAAACTCCTTTACCTTTTAAAACTAGATTACCACATTCTCCAATCTGTAATACAAATCTTAACACTTTAACTCCTAAAGAAATTTGTATTAATTCACTATACCTTCTGACTGTATCCTATTTTGTATTATTTGGATTGCTTAAAGGTCACTATAAAATATTTAAGGGTAGGAATAACTTTAGTTTTGCTGTAATGCCATACAAAGCAAAGTTAAGTGGCAAGTACGCAATAGGGAATTAATGAAAAGAAAATGGAACTACATTAGTATTTAAGTCCCATTTCATCATTAGGCAAGTCAGTTAGTCCTTTTATTTGGCATACAAATTAAAACAAAACAAAAAACATCTGCTGTGTCAAGAAAAACAGTAGTCCACAAAATATTGGACATGTTCCAATACAACTGAAAGATATACTAATTCTCTGAAACCAATAGAAATGTCACTTTACCTAGTCTACCTCTGACAATTTGCAGGAAAGTATTTTCATTTTGCTTTGGCAGAAAGAGGGGACTTTGTTTGAAATGTTTGTATTGTTCATTACTACAAAGGGAATGTTCATTACTACAAAATGGAAAAATAAAATGGTTCTCACTAGGTGGCTTTTTACCAAGATAGACAAAACAAAACACTTTGAACATACCTGTCATAATAATCCCGCTGAAAGTCATAGTCCAAGTCAAAAGAGGAGCTGAAAAATGAATAACAAAAAGTATTAATTTGGAGCTGTTAATATCAATTCACAACAGCAGATGGGGGAAAAAACCCCCATGCCAAACCAACCACAACAAACAGATCAACTGATTAGCATGGAATAATCCACAATCATTCAAATAACAACATTAAATTTCAAGTACCTTACGCCACTGAGCATGCAGTGGCCAAATAGCAAATATAGGCTAAAGTTAGCTAAAATTTCAACACATAGCATAATTGCTAAAAATAAGAACACTGAAAATTACAATAGTAAATTAAACATTCTTAGGCCACCTTCTTCCCTTTCTTACTCCCCAGCTTCTTAGAAGCTAAACTCCTCTTAAAGAATTTAATTTGTGCTATAAATACCAAATTACTCTTTAATAGTAAAAAATACCAAAGAATTCTAATAATTCTCTGGGAAATGGGCAAAAAGGAGGTACATTAACAAGAAGTTAATAAAGCATTACTTTTACTCAGAAAAATATACGATAGTTAACCCTCCCCACACCCAGAAAAACAGATAGAGAAGATGCCCACTGATGGACACAATGCAGTTATAAACAATAAAGTTCCGGACCTGAGTAGAGGGGACGGAGAAGGGTGTTCTGGTACTGACCCGTACATCTCCGCTGCAGATCGTTTCACACCTGCTTTTCCTCGGTTCACTTTTGGCTCTGCAGCCAGATTAATATCTGAAAAAAACAAAAACAAAAAAACAGGAACAAAAAATTTTAGTGACAACTCATAAATCAGGGATAGGGGAGTTCTCATAATACAGCTTTCTAAGTGTACATAAGTCATATAAATCAAAAGTCTAACACTGTCTCTCATCTTTCTTTATTACACTTAAAAAATTCAAGAATTCTTATAAGGCTAAGACTTAATCTTCCATTCCTTTGTCCTCTCTTCTCTAGCAAAAGAAGCATTCATTACATGTAACACAATATCTTTGGTACCTCCCCACCTCAGCTCCTACTTCAATGAAACTGTCACCATTCAGAGAACCCCATTCTGTTCACTGTTACTATTCACAGGAGAAAAGTATCAATAATTAATGGTTGCCTTTGTAGGAATAATTCCATGAATTTTAAATTAGCACAGACAAATATATTAAAAATGAATGTATTCCAGAGATTTTATATGGCAGTTCATAAATTAATATGGTTAATGTATGATACCCTTAAATTCTCCTGAAGGCAAATCTTTATTCTTAAAAGTAGAATCAACGGTAAACTGGCACAAAAAATGCTTGTTAAGACTATGCAGCCTTGCCTGGGTGGCTCAGTGGGTTGGAAGCATTGTCCTGTATACCAAAAGGTTGTGGAATTGATCCCCAGTTGGGGCACATATGGCAAGCAACCAATTGATGCTTCTCTGTCTTTCTCTGTCTCTCTCAAAATCCACAAACATATTCTCCAGTGAGGAATGAAGGACAAAAACCCTTTATATATGCATGTACAAAACCACACACAGAGAAAAAGGAAATAAAAAAGCAAAGGGAAAACCCCAATTTCTATTTACAACATTAATTTTTAAAATACCCATGCCAGTGGCCAACTACTTGCCCTACTATCCACTGCCTACCAAACAAGAGTTCAGTGGAATCCCTTCTTTAACAAAGGAGGCAATTTCGTCAAAAATCAATTAGCCAATGGCTAGGCTCTCCAAAACTCAGTTCATCAAATGACAAATTAAAAAAGACAGTCAGTACACTGTCTATTTGCTTACTAAACAACTTATTAATAGTCTTAATTTCTTGATTCACTAAACTCATATCTAAGTTTTAACATCTAAAGTTTGTAACAACTCTGCTTTTACAGTTTTGACTTTGGAATCATAAGTTTTTATAACATTACAGAATTAAAATTTTTAAAAAACAATTTTAAGATGTAAAAATTTTAAAATAGAACTGTATCAAGGTTGATTACACAATCTAATAGAGAAATTATTTCATGTGATTTGAAACTATAGTACTGAGTCATACATAAATTGTATTTAGTAATTTTAATTTTAGTAAAAATATAGGTACAGTTACTTTAAAACTGTGGCACAAAGTACACATGAAATTATGTTTTCTTAAAAAGTGTTAAGTACCCCCTAGTCTGCTCACTGAATCTAGCCAGTAGCAATTCAAATGCAGTAAAAATAAACACTCCTGATACACAGATAGTGGTTTCTAAATTATTCCCATTAAAAGGAGCCAAGGTTCTTTGGCAAAAGTGGCAAATTCCAAGTTAAGGTCAAGATACATACCACATGACCTGGAATATCTTGTGGTGCCAGAAAACGAGGAAATAATACATTATTCCATTAGGAAAGTCTCAAGGATACAGGGACCAAGTTAAAGATGATCCACTGGCTAAAATATTCTGAGCTCCTAAGAATAATTTGCAACAGACTAAAAGCACACCTATTTAAAATACATGAATTCATAATGACACTAAGCGAAAGCAATGACTATATTTAAAGGATGCTATAAGCATCAACTAATTACACCAAAATTTGAAAAGATTTATCCTGCCTTTCCAATTTGAGGAGTATTTTTTTGTTTTATTTTAGATTTTATTTATTTATTTATTTTTGATGGGAGGAAGAGAAAGTGAGCAAGAGAAACATCGATTGGCTGCCTCCCACACGCCCCCAACTGGGGATCTGGCCCACAACCCAGGCATGAGCCCTGGCTAGGAATCAAACCAGCGACCTTTTGGTTCGCAAGCTGATACTCAATCCATTGAGCCATACCAGTCAGGGCTGAAGAGTTTTTCTGAAAAATCAAGTATTAACAACAAGCTGTTCAGTTTACAAAAATTACAGTAGTGCAAAAGGGATTAGAAAATCTATTTGAAACCCCTAATGAACTACCTAAGCATGGGGAACTTCATCACAGACAGGTGATAAATTTTTCTTAATCTCACCAAAAATGATAAACCATGTTAGGCCATCTGATGTTGTACAGTATGAAGTATATAACACTACCCATTAAATATTTTCAGCAAATGAAATAGAATCTGAATTAAATCAAGTCTTTAGATTTGCAGACTCCAAGACAGTAAGCTGCTAGCCACAAGTGGCTATTTAACATTTGAAATATATTATGTCTGAAGTATACATCCTGGACTTCAAAGACTTTGTATGAAAAGAGAATGTGAAATGCCCCAATCACATTTTTCAATGATTACATAACAAAATGACAATATTTTGGGTGTACTGGGTGTTAAAGTATATTACTAAAATAATTATCACTTGTTATTTTACTTCTTTTAATAAAGCTGTTCACAAATTTAAAAATTATATACATGGCTCACATTGTTTCTACCGGACAACATCACTCCAGATCACTATACAAAACAGGAATAGAAAAAATAATGTCACAAGGAAGCAATCAGTTTAGTTTGGGGGAAAACACTAGAGACTCCTCCAACAGATTAAATGTCACTACAAATATTTTAATGTGTGTATGGAAGTGGGGTTTGCATTTTGTTAAAAGTTTTCATTTGTTAGATATATACTGAAGTCTTAAAAACACTCAACAAAAAATTTTGTGAAAACAGAAAAGACTGATAAACATAAGATCAGCCACATGTTGGTATCTGTTCATCTAAGAGAGACGTACATAACATACAGGCTGCTTTTTCTCTTGCTTTGGTGTTAAAAATTTCTATGAGAGAAATTAATTTTAAAAATGTGGCTTTATTTTCAGACATCTCACAAAACTTGTCTTAGTTCATTTCTACCACAACAATTTTATAAATGTCAAAGTTTATATATTGAGTTTTCCTGTACTTTGTTTGAGTGAAGGACAAATGATAATGAAAATTTCTTGTGTATTCTCAATCACAACTGCTCTATCTTGAATGTTAAGGATTATAAGTTTTTTGCCCTGGCTGGTGTGGCTTAGTGGATTTAGTGCCAGCCTGAGAACTGAAAGGTCACCAGTTTGATACCCAGTCAGGGGACATGTCTGGGTTGCAATCCACTGCCACTGGGGTTTTTTAAAATATAGCATTTGAGAAATATTTGTAAATAAAATACAAATCACACAAAAATTGTATTCTAGAGTGAAAGAGCTATAATAAGTCATCAAAAATCTACAACCAAAAATCCAGACCAAAATGGTCTCAAAAGCTGTTGAGACTTTTCTACACTTTGTTTGTTGTAAACATTTATTAAATGTTATAATCATGAAATGCTGAGGTTCTGAGATCTGTTATAGGGAAACATCAACAAGGGAATGCTTAAGGGGAAAAAAATTTACTCCAACCTGAAGAGAAGCTATGTAAATGTTGATAAATATGAAGTCAGACTTCAAATTTGTTGTACATTATGCATTTTTAAAACACTAAATACAGCCCAGGACGGTGTGGCTCAGTGACCTGCAAACCACAAGGTCACTGGTTCCATTCCCAGTCAGGGCTCATGCCTGGGTTGCAGGTCAGTTCCCCAGTAGGGGGCGCACGAGAGGCAGCCAAACACTGATGTTTCTCTTTCTTCCTCCCTGTCTCTCTAAAAGTAAAATAATTTTTAAAATCTTAAAAAAAAAAAAATTACACTAAATACAAACTCCTGGAAAATGCTGAAAACAAAACAAAAATTTAAGCCACCACAGTATTCCAAAGACCGGAAATGGACTTGTATTACAAACACTTCAGCTTCCATAATACTCACATCCCAGAAAATAATAAACTATATCAGATTATACGACTGACAACAAATCCTAGAAACTCATAAGCAATTAATAAATTATTCCAGAGCCCTGGCCAGGTGGCTCAGTTGGCTGGAACATCTTCCCATACACCAAAAGGTTGCAGATTCAAAAATTTCTGGTCAGGGTACACACATATGAGAGGCAACTTACTGATGTTTCTACCTTGCATTGATACTCCTTTTCTCTCTCAAATCAATAAACATATTCTTGCATGAGGATTAAAAAGAAATTCAAGAAAATGAAGTTCTGTAATCATTAGAAACATACTTAGGATCTGTAACAGTCTTAATAGGTAATGAGGTCTAAAGTTTAGAGTATAAACTATCTAAGCAGAGCTCAGACCTCATTTCTCAACATTTGAACATGGTACATCAGAGAAAAGACTACTGGTTGAACTACTATCTAAAACTACACAACCAGAGTTTACACTGCTAAAACATGTTGAACTACTAGAAGCTTTTCACAAATTGTCTCAATTCTTTAAATTTATCTAAATTATCCTAACAACCCCAAGTATAAACTCTGAGGTCCTACTAACTCCATTTTAACAGAAGAGAAAATTTAAGCACTGGCTGGTGTGAGTCAGTGGACTGGGTGTCAGCCTGCAAACCAAAGGGTCGCTGGTCTGGTTCCCAGTCAGGTACAGGCCTGGGTTGCGGGCCAGCTCCCCAGTGGGGGGCATGTAAGAGGAAGCCACACACTGATATTGCTCTCCCTCTCTTTCTCCCTCCCTCCCCCTCTCTAAAAATAAATAAAATCTTAAAAAAAATTTAAGACTCAGCCAAACTACATAAGCTGTCCAATATACAATGTGAAGCCCCAATACACGGCCAAGCAATCTGACTCTGGAGCCCATGAGTGAAGAGGTTATATGGTCTTCCTCCAGTCCACTGTGAGCAGTGGGCATAGCCATTTATTACGGCAGCAACTGTACCTTATGAAATAGCATTCCTGCCTCCTCTATCTTACTCAAGACTACCAACTGAGGGTTATCTAGTCTCAACTACTCAACATGGCATAACAACAAATAAAATCCATATTTAGCCCATTATATCTATAAACCTAACATTCTTATTACACTGAAGTCAGCCACAACATCCAGAATATTTCAGGCTATTAAAATTATTGCATGGGAGAGAGAACAATACAAACAGAAAAGTTCTTATATATGAATTATATAATCAATGAAAAAATTAACTCAACCCAGATCTTACCTAAAACCTGTCCAGCAATCATTCTGCCATCCTCTCCGGCCACCGCAGCCCGGGCATTTCTCTCATTAACATACTGAACAAAGGCAAAGCCCTTATGAACGGAGCAACCCACAATTTTGCCATATTTTGAGAAGATAGCCTCCACATCAGATTTTTTGACCACAAGAGTATTGAGATTCCCAATGAATACACGGGAGTTCATGGAGCGAGGATCTGTCTTGTTGGTAACATTGCTGGCCATTGTCTTTGATGATAAGGTTCCTCACAAAGCTGAAACTGGAAGAAAAAAATGCATAAAGGTGAAAAGATGCTAAAAACAAGATAAAAATTTCTCTACCCTTATTTTGAACCACTGTGACTAGAGCGCAATAGCAGTCAACCTCAGTCTATTACTATTCATATTTTACATCCCCTGAATATATCCCCTTACAGAAATTCAATTTTCCCTTCTCTAGTATATTTGAACAGTACTAGACTCATCCTTTTAAGGGGACAAAAGAATCTTCATTGACTCTTGGCAACACAATGTTCTTGAACATTAATTCCAAATGACTCCTCTGTTTTAAAGGCCTCAAGCAAATTAGAATGCCCTAAGCTCTCTACTAACAATTTCTACTTGTTTTTTACCTTGCCAGTCATGTTAATCTAACCATTGCTTGTCATCAACAATTCCATTTTCTTGCACACTGCTTTTACTAAAGAGTCTCAGTCTCCCAAAGATATAAAAAAAACTCCAAATTCTGCCCACAAACCATTAGTTAAGATTAATGTGGACAACTGACACTATACCCTTCAAGTATAATTAACCTTACTAGAAAAAGGCAATTCATTCACTCTGGAAATACTTATTTCCAGGAACTTCAATTGATTTACAATATGCCAGATACCTGAAGTATAGTATCATCTTTTTATAGAATGTGATGGCTCTTTACTTCCTTTTTATGTAATAACCTACAAAATACAGCTGGGACATGTAATAATACTGGATGGTGATAACAAACACTGCATGAAATCAAAAGGCCACAGGAACTAAGGAAAAGAGCACACATTTCCACAGGCCATTTTGAAACAAAAATTATCTTTATGTATGGTAGGTTCAATCTTAATGTTTTGGCATTGTTTTAGCTTTTGTATGTCTCCTGCCCCTGCCACTCAACCACCAACTCAACTCAAAATTATGATAGATCCACCTTAGATTTAGAGTAACAGTCTTTAAGATTAAAGATACCAGTGCCTAATGTTATTTTTCCAATCCTCAAGAGAAATCACAACAAACTAGTTCTCATGGATTGTTAAAATGCCTCATATATACATATATAATAAGCAGTTAACATCAATTATACATGACCCTTCCCATTCTGACCCTTAAAATATATAGTCATTTCATAAGCAGTACTAATTTGAAAGATGTAAGAACTGCTTTTCCATCCTATTTTCTCTGAAATTCAAAAGACAATCTATTTTGTTTCTAAACTATAGCTTTATAAAGAGTAGTTCCTATCATTTTTTTTAGACTAAACAATACAAACTTACCCACAGTAGGCAGTGAGAATCACCCATAGCCTTTCAACCTGAGTTTGACTGCCCAAAATCCTTGTAACATTGAGAATTAAAATATAAACCTACCAAACAGGGTAGTTCTACCTGCCACCAGCATACTGAACATTAAGTGAAAACACCAAAGAACTGACATTAAATTTATATCCCTTTCATGTATACTCATCCCCTTCACATATACTTCTTTGAACCACAAATCAGAAATGGCTTTGAATAACTGTTTTCTCAATTTTCACAAATATGTTACATAGCCAATACCAAGTTATACAGAACAAAATTCGTTACATACGAAAAATGCCTTAGGGTGCGATTTTCAACCTCTTTCATCTCATGGCACATATAAACTAATTAATTACTAAAATTCTGTGGCACACCAAAAAATAGTTTAGTCAATTTGAACAACAAAAAAAAGGTATAATTTTGATTCATTCACAATGGACGGCTACTGTGCTGGCTGTTGTCATTTGAGGCCAGTACCCCCAACTAAATAGTCAGGTATTTCATGTTTTAAAAATTCTTGTGGTGCACCAGCGTGCTTCGGCAAATTGCTGCCTTAATGTATTAGGGCTCAATTCTCTCAAGGAACCCTATTTGAAAAGACTGGTAGAGAAGACACGCAGGTATACAAAATAACCGTGGCACAGTAGCTCAGTTAGTTAGAGGATTGTCCCAATACCTTAAGGTTCTGGGTTTGATCCCCAATCAGGGCACATATAAGAATCAACCAGTGAATGCATTAATGGGTGGAACAAATCAGTCTCTCTCCCATATAAACAAAATAAAAAGGTACTACCAATGGTTGTCATTTCTAAATTTAAGGATAGGACTTTCTCATTTTTTTTTGATAACATGGTTTCCAAATTCAATACAAAAATCATGAATGGTTAATGAAAAAATAATATGATCCCAGTTTCAAAAGCTGGGCTAAGGTCAATAGTTTAGCTTTCAATGCCCATAGTTACTATAAGAATTAATCAAGATAGGAACAATAGTAAAGACAAGTGAACCCCAAACATCCATTAATCCCACTCCTAGAAACACATCCTCCTAAAGAATTAAATTACAAATTACTCTGTAATTACTACAAATTACTCTGTCTTCATTGTACATTTCTTGAGAATCTGCTAAGTACCAGGCACCAGAGCCACTTTAGGAAGCAAAGAGGAACAGATGATTCTAGTGGTATTGCTGTTTATTTACTTTTAAAAGATTTTATTTATTTACAGAGAGGGGGAAAGGGAGGGAGAAAGGAGATAAACACCAACTGGTTGCCTCTTACACATACATCCCCAACTGGGGGCCTGGCCTGCAACCCAGGCATGTGCCCTGACCAGGAATTGAACTGGCAACTTTTAGGTTTGCAGGATGATGTCCAACCCACTGAACTACACCGGTCAGGGCAGTACTATTGTTTAAACTTTTATTAAAGAGAAAGAACAGATTTCCAAAAGTTTTAGAGATAACCAAATGATTTTGGGTCATACTTCACCCTATCTCTGGTTATTTGGGGTAGAAAAAAATGGTAAATACCCTAAATGCACATAAACTACTGGGACTCCTGGAAGAAAGCAGCAACAGCGTGGCATAGTTTTGGAATGTTTCTGAATCCTTACATAAAAACAACCACATAATAAAGCCAAAAACCCATGGACAGTATTTACAACAAACTCTGGTGTCAAGGTATCACAATTAAAACTCCCAAAATGCAAGCTGGTAAAAGCAAGCCAATATGCATGGTTTATCACTGACTGAGGAAGAAGCAACTAGGAGTCTAAATTAAAAGACCTAGAAATCGAGTCCCAAAATATCCTGCTAGTATTTATTGGAAAGAACCAATTTTGAGAAAAGGAGTGTTTTGCCTGATCCAATAGTGAGTACAAGGTACTGCAGTAAAAAGGTTCAATGGTGCAAGAACAGCTTAGTTTCTGCAATTGTAATCTTAAACCTAACACAGAAGCCCCATATCCATCATTTCATTCTCAATCTTTTTTCTCTCCCAAAAGTAACTACTGCTCTGTATTTATCCCTTTCTTCCTTTTTAAGTAATTCTATCATCTAAATGTGTATTCCTGGACAGTACAGTCTAACATTAAAACATTTGATGTCTTTCAAAACTCCTTATAAGTTCCCCTCCCATCCCTTTAACTTAAAATTTGTATGTTGAAGACTCCAGAGCATTTGACCTGCAGTTCCCAGTCTACCTTTTCAGAAATTTCATACTTAGTACAATTCTACATACTTTTCTGTCATCTGTATATCCTGACATAAGAATCTAGGACAAAAGACTTGTTTAGACTCATGCGTGACCCTTCTATACATGTCTTTTTGTGGTATTTGTAAGTTCTATCTTATAGGTACCATGATGTCCCAAGTTTATCTCAAATATATTACTTAGAAAGAACTCATAAGAATAGGTTCTCAGTTCTTGCATGTTATTACGGTTTGCCTTTGTTCCTTATATTTGTACGTTAGTTTTGCTGGGTGTAAAATCATTGGATCACATTTTCTTTCTTTCAGTGTTCTGCCATTTATTTCTGGACTGTCACAGGATCATTCTAAAGTATAAACCTTGCTGGCTAAGTTCTATTTTTCCCAACTTAAGTAGTAGTTACAAGGGACTTTGCTTTATAATAATTCAATAGTGTTTTTAAAATAGACTAATAGAAATGGTACAGATCGAAATGAATATATTTGAGATTGCTTCATGGGTCATAAAGGTTTACACTTTGGAAAATCTGCCCTGACAAAGAAGGTCAATTTCTCCTCTTTTCCTTTTTTTAAGATTTATTTATTTTTAGAGAGGGAAGATGGGGGGGGGGGGAAGAGGGGGGAGGGAGAGAGAGAGGGAGAGAGAGAGGGGGGGAGGGAGGGGGAGAGAGAGAGAGAGAGAGAGAGAGAGAGAGAGAGAGAGGGAGAGAGAGATCAATGTGCAGTTGCTGGGGGTTATGGCCTGCAATCCAGGCATGTGCCCTGGCTGGGAATCAAACCTGCAACACTTTGGTTCGCAGCCCGCGCTCAATCGACTGAACTACGCCAACCAGGGCTAATTTCTCCTAACTTTTTAAAGTACTTGGAAAGGGAAAAATGGGAGAGACTGCTCTGACCAGCTTAAAAATCCAACCAAATGGCATAGTCTTAAATACATCAGATTTCAAATGTAAAAGCAAGCTGCAGAAGGAATGGGTCAATTTTTGCTTTTTATCTTATATACATATGTAGCACATAGTCATATTCTACACACATATCTTAAAAATAAATGTTTAATAATCCAGTAGTCTAATTACCAGCAACTGCCGTCTTTAGAAAATCTACAAATCATTTTAAATGTGGAAATTGTGAAAAAGTATTTAAGTCAGAAAGCAGTATACACAGTTGTACAATATATAACAGGATATATATATATATATATATATATATATAAAAATTTTGTGCTTAGGAAACACAGCAAAAATATTTTAAAACGTTCTGTAGGTACGCTGCTTCTGGTTAATTATTAACAAATATTAAAAATTCTGGCTTTAAGCCCTGGCTGGCGTAGCTCAGTGGACTGAGCGCAGGCTAAGAACCAAAGTGTCGCAGGTTTGATTCCCAGCCAGGGTACATGCCTGGGTTGCAGGCCGTAACACCTAGCAACAGCACATTGATGTCTCTCTCTCTCTCCCTCCCTCCCTTCCTTCTCTAAAAATAAATAAAATCTAAAACAAAAATTCTGGCTTTAA